AAAAAAAAAAAAAATTCACCTTTATTGACAACTTTCATGCAAAACAAAGTCAAACGAATGATATTCGATATGGTAAAAAAAAAAATCATTTAATTTCAAATTTTTTTTTTTTACATTTGGAAAAAATTTTAGATTCAATGGTAGAAAAAATTATCACTTTAATGGACAAATTCCATAAAAAACGTAGCCAAATGGACACCAAACTTTCAACATTTTCCATAAAAAATTATACCTCAAACACAATTAATTACAATTTCCAGTAAAATATTTTCTAGGAAAATCAATTCCCTGTAAAACATTTTCTTTCCACCCATTTTCCACCCTTGCAATCAAACATACCCTTACTATATATCTGAGTTCCCTGCTATGAATGTTTGCCAGATTGGTCCTAATATTTCAATCTCTGCCAATGCTTGCATAGGAGCTGGTGTGAGGCTTGTCAGTTGCACTATTCTTGATGATGTTGAAATCAAGGTACTAATCCCCTAAATTACTGGATATTATCTTTGCTAACGACAACACGTGAAAATTAATCTTCGTGCTTTATGTTTATGCAAAGGAAAATGCTGTTCTAATCCACGCAATTGTTGGATGGAAGTCCTCCATCGGAAGGTGGTCAAGAGTCCAAGTAAGTGCAAGGATTCATCTAATTATTGTCTTACAAATTTACTACTTTTCTTTTAGTTCCTAAAAGGAGTTTAGTCATTCTTTGCTCGATCCAATACAATTACAACTCCATTATGTTTTCTGTGGTAAGAATGTTCCCCAAGCTTTAATCTGCCTATTTCAGGCTTCAGGAGATTACAATGCTGAGCTTGGAGTTAAAATTCTCGGTACTTTTTCAACACTTTCTCCGTATCTGTTTCTTTCACCCTCAAGTCGTAACAGTATGAACGTATTTTAAACCAGGCGAATCTGTATCAGCATCGTCCTTCCAAACAAGACTCTTAATGTCAGCGTTCAAGAAGAAATCATACTGTAGTACCATGAGATATTCTGCAACAAACATCTATTATCGCAGCTACAAGCTCGACTCCTTTTATGCATACTTTGTACCTTGTGGCATTGCACCATACAGTTTTATTGAATTCCTAGAAAGGCAGTTTTCAATTTTTTTCGTTTCTTTTTTATTTTGTAAATTGACAACATGATATTGAATAAACGAAAATTTACAGTTTTACTTATTTTTGAATGCGTCCCACTAAGTAATTTCTTTAAATGCATATATTATCATTTTTATAAAAGCGCACACCACAATTTCTATGGAAATCGCAAGAAAAAAACAAAGTGGTAATGGTGAACATTAATAAGGTTAGAAATCTTTACATAATCTCCTGCTTCTATTAACAGATACATTCTGCAATCCCTTGGATGAACCAGTCAGGCTTCGATTTTGACAAAAACACGAAAATAAAACACATGATAGATGGCAAAAAACTTAAGTCATGAACAGGTAGAAGCCCCTATCAGTCACTGTCTTGTTTTACCTTCAATACTACTTAAATGTACACTTGATTTTCTTCAAGCTTTACCGGCACCATAGCCACACGCAGATAGAAACCCTATCAATCTTCCATCCTGTAGACTTCACCTTACATTCAGTACTTCCTCAATGTATACTCAATTCTTCAACCTTTACGCGCACGATCACGCCATGAGCCTTGTTGCATTGTTATTACCTGTAGTGACGATTTCATAAACATGGTCACCACACAAGCCATAGTTGCAATCAACCATAATATCACGTGAAATCTCTAACCTGGTTACTAAGAAGACTTTTGACGGGTGGACTATCAATGACCTCATTTGTATCATTATCCTCTTCTTCTTTGTTATCTGTTTCTGCATCTAGTGGCAGTGAAGGGGCCCCAAACATCGCCTCGTCATGAGCAGCTTTGATATCTTCCTCTTTCTTTGCCTGTAAAATGAAAGAAATTTATACAAGTTAAAAATCTTAGATGAGGATATGACTTTCTCAAAACAGACCATCAATCAGAAACAAACACGAAAGCAATCAAAGGATGTGCACAGTACCTCCACTACAGAAAACCGAAAGCTTTGCCCCAAGTGCTTGACTAATGCTGCATCATCCTCCACAGCTGCCATCACATGACAAAGCATTATCATCACTCTTAGCATCATATACAAGAAAATGTTGGAACTTGGAACAAACTTTAAGTCTGCGTTTGGCAAATTTATAAATGGTATATAAAGATGAATACTAAGATGAATAGTAGCGAGTCCACGAATGTGTGAATATAAATGAGATGTAGTTAAGAATGAATGGTAGAAATTAATATTTGATTTTGACTGAATTTATAAATTGGTTGCCAAACCAAGGCTAAAAATTATTTCTAGCATATCACAGGTTGTAAACCAATATTAAAAGCTTGGACAAGCATGTTTGGTAGGTGAATATAATCAATTTCAATTACAAATAGATAGAAATGAGTGGTAAATAAGTATTGACTGTTGATCCTATAAATAAAAAGTAAGTTTGACCAAAAGTGTTTATAAATTAAACACCTTCCTCACACTTATTGAATGAATTTTTTCTATGAGATATCTCTTTATGAAAATTTGCCTATGCATCAACTAAACTACCCTGGAAGAATCCTTAGTCGGATACCAAGCCTATCTCGCCTGTAAACCAATATTAAAGAGTTCCAACAAACATCCAATCGTGTTAAAATCCTCTATTGTGGAATCCCTTATAAATAATATGGTCTATGACTCCATCGAGAGTATAATTCTATGTCTTTATTGTTTCTTCAATTATTTTATTGATTCATGTTGAGGCTTACGGTCGGAGGGATTCAAACCCCCAACAACGTGGTCCGTAGTAGTCCTCTGAGCTACAGGCACCACCCCATCTCCATTGGATCCGTTCCCTAGAGTACCTCAAAAAAGAACATTTCCTCTTCCCTCCCCAGCCATTTCATTTCGGGTCAGCAGAACGTAGACATACTGACACATACCTAATTTAGCCTTTCCAAACACAGATTAATGCTCTTTCTTTTATTTATTTTCTTCCAGATCAGATAACATTACCCATTAATCATTAAAAAGTTGAAGCAGCAACAGAGGCTTTTGTCTTGCTCCGAAGCAAGTAAGACCATAGTTTTAACCCATGTTTGACTTCCATTAAAACAAAACTCTTTATTTCTTATACTCATTTTCAACCACATATTCACATAATAAAATATTTTACACGTAAACCTAAAATTTTTCCCTACTTTTTTTGATAACCATGAATGTCCGGACCAGCTTGCGCGCACGCATTCTCCAAAAACTCATTATTCAAAAGATCATTTTCCTCCGATATCTTTATAATGGTTGTCAAACAGGGGCTCAGTCTAAGACCAAAATATTCGTAGATTTTCCATCAAAAGTGAAATTTCAGTTGGGAATTGGAAATATAGAATGGGAGAGTTTCTACTTAGTTGTGTATTCCTGAATGATACATTGAAAACCATTCGACCTCATCGGACACTCAACAGCTTCCCATCAGACTGACTTTGCTCGCTTAACTACTATGTTGATGTTGATTGCTGGCTTGAGTTGACCAAATCATCCAGGAAGAAACATATAAACAGCATTTCCCCAATTTTCTCTTCAGAACAAAACTACACCTGTTAAATGGTTGGGGCGAATTGTGACGCCTTATCTTTTCCTCCCTGAATATTGCATGCCTCAGTAGTTCCTAAATGATTTCTAATACTACAATCTTTAGTAAATATACTTCTTTTTTTCGACAGTTTAGAGTTAAAATCATTAATACCACAATCTTTTGGTAAATATACTTCTTTTTTTTAAACAGTTTAGAGGTAAAATCATTACTAAATGGGCTTCATGAGCCTATAATTGACACATGCCCATCAAAGTAAAAAAAAAAGTGTGTGCAGAGAAAACATCCTTCATGCACTGATTACCCTCAAACCTAATAGAGGGAAAAATGCCTAGTTGTCCCAAATGTGATATTATATCACAAAAAAGAGAGCATACGATCTAAAAAAAGAGAGATGTGAAAAGCCAGTACAAAGAATTAGATAAGTTAGGAACATCTGAACCTAAATAGAATTCTAATCATACACATCAGCAACTACTATTGCAAACATAATCTACCTAACATATGAGATATTGAGACCAAAATAAATATAAATTATCAGCCAGAGGAAAAGAATGCTATCAAATTTTGAGTACTGATGAAAAACACAATATGGGAAGTATTTTAACCTTCGATTTCCTCGTCATCCAGAGGGGCATCCTTGTTGAAGTCAAATCGCTCCCATCCAGATCCCGTTCCCATGCTTTCATCCTTTTCAGCTGCAAGTAGAAAAACATGAAAATTTCACAATTTCTACATAATACTTGATAGTAAGAACTAAAAAGTCACTTTCAACTTAAATTTTATACCAACCACGATAACATTATTGGCAGTGCTATATTTAGAACTGAAAAAGAAACTATCAAATATAGGTGTGACATAGATTTCACGCCATGAAATTGGGCACTTGAAATTAAAATTCATGAAAATGCAATTTAAATTTGAACTTGATTCCATTCTGGAGCCTTACTTTATGGTACCAAACATGATAGGTGACAATTTTTTATTATTCTCCAGCTCATCCCAACACTTTTATTGAGCAAAGTTAGATGGAATCTTTTCGGCAATGTCAAACAAATCTATACAATCTGAACTTTGGAAATCATGGATCTCCAACAAAAAGCACTGCTAAACTAAAGCAATAAAGTTCTCCATCAAAGAATATATATATAGGGAACACCATATGTCTCTCATGCATAATATTCCTAATACGTTCCTAATGTGCAAACGTCGCCCTTTAACTTTACTACACCACCAGAGTTTTCAGGTGAAAATTGTTAGTGTTGCACAGGACCTGAATTCAAAGTTTTCTAAACTTTCTCATCACTGGATTCATTGCGAAAATAGTATCAAGGCCTTCACTATCTGTCAAAAATAGAAAGTAGCCACATGCAGCTACAAGATCTCAATAGTCTCTGGGACCATATGGAACATGTCCCAAGAATGTAGTTACAGTTTTCTTTTAGCAAGTACGTGCACCATCATTCATTATGTTCATTTTTCATCATAAAAAGGAGGTGACTTGAGGAAAAGAGAAAACCTTGTAACAAAGCAGCCTGGTTTTGAAAAGTAGTTTATACCTGGTGTTGCAGCACAGCACACCTAAAGCTAAGCAATGATATGTGTAAGTTATGAAAGAATGACCAAAGACTTCTTTTTATGCACAGTTCATGGCTCCTTCGGTCGTACTTAATCATCTAGTCGAAGTTGTTCCCCCTTTTTTTTTGCATGTGTTAAACTGACTACTGAAAGACAAAGACAAATCATATCATGGATTCCTGCAAAACGTACGGAAGAGTGCGATTTATCAATTACTTCCACATCTACAAGTGATTTACCTATTGCTCCACCAAAAGGTCTGTGCTTGACATTGTTCAAGAAAGCGAATAGCTTGCGATTATAATTTTTTCTGGGACAGAAATGACCTTGCAAATTATCCAGCTTAAAACCAAATAAAAATAAATTAACTCAACTACTTGTCTGCATCAGTGTCACAATGTTTTGTCAGATTTATACAGCGTTAATGTTGGATAGCATTGTTCAAGTATATCAAGTATTCAAGAAAGTGGCCACCTCATGCTATCAGAAAGAAGACGATATTTATGTCATTTTATACTTCCAAAATTCTTAAAAGATTTGCATCGATTCCTGCACATACAGTCAACATTAGCTGGGTAGGGAACTTCAACTATACAGTTGGAGAACAAAACTTCACCTCCTGCACTATGCTCGAATTTATATTGCCAACCTGAAGTTTCATCACATGATCGTGTGTGCAAAGCATCAAGATTGTGCGTGCATCCGTGCAAACAATTCCAAACAACTCCCAATAACATTCCAGCCAAACTCAACTCTTAAATATCTTCGCTGCACGAATAGCACGAGGATAGCAGTTTAAGCTATTGATTTAAGCAAACTTTTTGTGACCTATGGTATGCTCTTCATGCATGTCAGATTTTCTATCCACAGAACAATAACTACCCTTGGAATCATTTTAGCTTAGATCAGCAAAGTCACATATTCCTAGTGCTGGTTGTATCTCTAGTTCCATTGCTTCAT